ACCACCATTTATTTGAATGAGACCAATGCACTGGCAAACCTGCACTGTGTCAGACAACCTTTGCCATGACACAGTGTAACATCATCTGGCATCTATCAGCAGAGCTGCCAGATGGTCAGGCACCTGATATTTTCTACAACTTTCTGAAGTCAGTCCAACATTCACACCCACTTCATGCAGAACTGGCCAGACACTTGGCCATTTGTTACACAGCTCACTTTTCATGTTTGCAGAAGATCAGAGTCGACTGAGAATTCTTCCCACTGTCTTTCACCTATATTGCTGTCCTTTAAATTGCAGCGAAACAGCATGATCCTTTTCTTCCTCACAGGACTATACAATCAGGACTTACTTCATGTAATTCCACCTGTACTGTTTACATTCCAAATTTGCACATTTGCACATGCATAATTGCACACTCACTGCCACCTATTGCACATACAGCTCCGATGTAGCATACATTCTCTCTTTATTATATTCTTTATAATTTTTTTAATATATTTGTTTCCACTTGCTGTTTTTCAGTGCCTTCAAATTTTGTGTACAATTTATCTACCTTATATTTCACTTTGTATTTTTTAGCATTAATGGTGGACAGCAAAGTAAGAATTTCATTGTACAGGGAAACATGCTTCTTTACTGTGCACATGACAATAAACATTATGAATCTTTGAATCTTGGTGGAGGTAACAAAAGTCTAGTAGAGTGGTCAAATACAAACAAAAACTAGAGAATAATGAAACTAGGAACTGGACTGCAGTAAGTATATACCAAACAAAAGGGGGACCAGCATCCAAAGAACCTTTAGACTAATACAGATCTCCACATTAAGGTAGGAAATATACAATCAAATGAACAAGAAGTCAACAAGTCAGAGGCTATTCAGTCACAACATCACATCCAGAGAATGGCAGTCTTAAATATTATCTGAACTGTAGCAGATGAGAAGACTGGAGAAGGCACAAACAATTCAGAGCATGGGAGTGGAATGAGCCACAGACCAGGCAAAGTGGTGGCAGGGTGATGAGAAGCTGAGCAGCTCACATCCAGGGCTAGTAGCAGGCAGAGACTAGGAATAGAGTGAAGCAAACCAGAGCTGTGGCAAACGGGGATCAAAATGAACTGACAACTGACTGAGGGTGATGAGGTGAATATATAGGAGAACTAACCAGGTAGCATTCACACAAAATGAGCTGCAATATCACTGTCTCTTAAGTCGATATTGTGAGTTTAGCAAACACTTGCATATTTAGCAACATTAGTATTCTGTCAGTGAAGTCTCTGGTCCATTGGTGAATGTAAGTCTAATCTACCAAATAACCTTTGTTTACATTCAATACTACAATAATCTACAATAGCCTTATATATATGAGCATCTGTTTTTCTTTCCAGTGTTGGATATTTTATTTTGAAAGGCTCTTCTTCGGTGTCTACAGATGTGGATGCCATTCTCAGGAAGCTGAGCAGGGCCCATCGTGGGACTGTATGCATCCTTTTGTCATCTCCTCATTTCCTCACCTCCTTGTTCCCTCAACTCATCACATCCTCTTTTTCCATCACATCTGTCCTGACCTTCCTACCTGTAGCACTTCCCCCAATTTCCATTGACAATCAGTCATGGTGATAAGTGTTGTTGGAGGCCAGGCTAATCACTGAAATAAGTAAACAAGGGGAAAGGTGAGCAGAGCAGCACAATCAATAATGGCATTGTGGACTGATTGCTGTTGAGGTACAGTAGCAAGAGCTTGCACACACACACACACACACACACACACAGTGTCATAGATGTAATCTGAACAAGGCAATGATGAGGTGGGATAAGTGCTAAATGGTTGTTGCATATTTAACAAACAGAAATCTCTCAAAGTAGGTCTGTACTCCATCTGACCTCAATTTCTCATTTCCTCTGCTAGTGCGCACACACATACACGCACACACACACACAAACACATGCACACAGTCACAGGCCTTAATGTGCTCACTCATACAACACAACACATTCTCGCACACCTACATGCACATTTAGACACACAGACAGGGACCTATTAGTAGTTTCTCTCCACTAGAGAGTACAGCTGCTGTTGACGTGAATTCGGCTGCTTTACTTGATCAGTTAATGGCACTAATTTCCCAGAAAGAGCCTCCACCTGGCTTCCATGTCACTTCATCAGCCTCTGATTAAAGCTGAGTGTTAATACTAGCACTCTGGTGATCTGCAGTGTGTGTGTGTAAAATTGGGCTGCAGATAAGGACGGAGGGGGAATTTTTAATATTTGAAAAAGGCATCTGCCGGAAAAAAAATCTTGTCTTGAGAGATTTTAAAGAAGCTGGGTGAGTTGAAAAGCAAGAGAAACACTTCACATTACAGTGCATTGTGGGATAGATGGCTCAGAGTAGTAACACTGTCCTAAATAAGTTTACGAGCATGTATGTGATCAAAAGCATTGCATTCTACCTTCAGAACAGGCTGCTCTGGGTTTTTCAAGGTCACCTCGCAACAATTCAGAGCATCTTCATTACTTCTGTTGGCCCTCTGCCGTTCCCATAGCAACCCTGCTGAGCTGACAGATGAGAGGCGCGGGAGTCGACCTCCCACATAGTTGGAAAAACACGCACACATGCAGACGTGCACGCATTTAAACAAATGTACTTACACACACATACACACACACACACACACACACACACACACACACACACACACACACACACACACACACAGTGTTTTCATTCCTTGTGGGGACTTTAAATTGACTTACATTCATTGCCTGTAGACTTATCCTAACGTTAACCATAACCACTACTTAGCTAACCCTAACCCTGACCCTAACACTTACCCTAACCCTAAACCACGTTGCCACCCTAAAATTCAATGATTTCCTTGTGGAGACTAGCTTCTGGTCCCCACAATGATGGCCGAGTCCCCACAGTGTGAATGTGTTAACAGGTTCTCGGCCCTCATGATGTAAGTAATACAAAGGCACACACACATTTCTTATACTTTTGAATCCCCAAAGCCATTTACACTTAAGAAAACTCAGTAAGCAATTGTTCTTCTGCATTTTTCTCTCCCCCTAAATTTTTTTCAGATGGAAAGATACTGTATTTCTCATTCTCACACAAATCTTGGAAGGTAGAATCTACTATAAAGCTGAACATTGGTGCAAAATTGTAAAGGTTTGGTGTACAAATGAAGGCTTTGTTTGGCTTACAAAGCACAATTCTAAGGTCAAATTTGAGTTTTTTTGTCCCCAAATTAAAGGGGACAAGGTATTGACCTTGGTGGAACAGCCCATTGTTTAACAAAGACAGTCATTTTAGACGGTCAAGTTTTTTTGGTTCAGATTTGTTTGACCATTACTCTTTTGCCTTGCTTAACTGTCAGCCCCACCATTATTTCTAACACATTCTGTTTTGTTTTGTTTTATAAACCACAGAGTGGCCTTGTTCTCTAAAGGCTCTGCATAAATGAAAACTGACTGATACATTAATGGATTGTCCCCAGAGCCAAAGCGTGTGAGCACAATCACACAGTCTTTACTTTGACCCAGAATTTTGGGTATGTGCTACAAAGAGGAAGCTCTTTCCACTGCAAAAAGGGTATTAGCATCAAAGCAGAGTGGTGTGAAACCTCAACTGCAGATAACAATTTCAGCTTTCATGGAATAATGTTTATTATTTTTGTCAAGAAGCTAGAAAGTTATGGGCATGTATCCACTGTTGATTGAAAAAACCTTGATTATAAACTCAGTTCAGCAATGAATTGTGTGACTGAGAAAAGAACTTCCAGTAAGTTAAAAAATAAAACTAAATTTCATGGGATAAACAATTTGGAACATGACAACATTCCTGAAGCAGGTCAAGTCATTTCTGTGTTCCCTTCTTTATGCACTTCATTCATTTGCTCCTCTCTCCCTACAGTGAATATAGACCTGCATGGTAGCTCACAGAGCTATCCAGAAACTGACAACTCAAGGCTTATGCCGTCATTCCACTACCACTGGGAACCCTACTGTACTCATGGACAGCTGACCGACTATTGGCCTGGGTTGCCTGGCCACAGAACACATTTGTGTTTCCAATGCAGTGCGAGCAGTGCTCTTGCAGAATATATCATGGTGGCCTTATTGGCGTGACCACAACAAACATCAGTGGTAGGTGTGCAACAGATTTGTCAAACATAGCTGTTTTATTAGCTTCCTTTTGTTTCTTCATAATGCACTGCTTGTCTCTACATTGCCCGTAGGAGTGATTGTGTGTGCGAGTGGTTGTTCGTCTGTGCGTTAGCCCTGCGATGGACTGGCAGCCTGTCCAGGGTGTACCCCACCTCCAGCCCCCCATGACCCCGTTTGGGACTGAGCGGTTTAGAAAATGGATGGATATTCAAGTGAAACCTTTTAAATGTTAACACTGCCTGCACTGCTATCCCCTTCTTACTTTTTGTTTAGGAAGGCAGGTCTCCCTCTTAGGCTGAAACACTTCCTGTTCCACTTTCCTCTCTGCCAGGCAGAGTGTAAGGCTGTAGAGCGCTGGGTTAGCAGCACACTCTGGAATACTGAAATAGCGAGACCTCTGGCTTTCACCTTCTTTTAGTTTTTCCTTAATGCAGACAGAGCCAGAGGGGATGTGGAGGAGAAGGGAAACAGAGCTTTATTATATTCAAATGGTTCTAAAACAAACAGGGAACACTGTGGCAGTGGCAGGTGCAGAGGCCAAGTAAACACGACACTGAACGAAAAGAGCATGGGCAGGAACTGGCAGACGGAGTACAAACCCATTATCACTAAAGCACAGAAAAGCTAAACAAGGCTCTCCTTTTGAAAAGTCTATAAACAAAGTCCCAACAACAGGACTAAAAGAGCAGATTAATAACTTAACCACAGGGAAGTCCTGAACAAGTTTATGATATGATAGGCATGAAACCTGAAGTATAGCCACTGACCAAAAACCAGAGTCCATACATAAATGAGGTAACATGCAATTTGAAACACAATACAGACCTAAAACTATGAGGGCGATGCATCCATCAAATGGTCATCAAAAGCAACTAACTCAGTCAAGCAATGTGGGAGACACTTGGAGAATCAAACACCAACTGAACCACAAGTGGGAGACATCCAGAGTTCCTCGATTGATAATGGGAGACAGGTGAGTGTGACTAAAGCAGGCAGTTGGAGTTGTAAAACTGAAAAACAAACAGGCGGCAGAACAGGAAGGCAGAAGTGTACCAAAATAAAAGCTAAATGCCTTTTGCTCCAAAAGTTTTAATGACAGCAAAAAAGGTCAGCCTGAATGCCTTACTGGCCAGAAGGATCACTTTTATAAAATGACTGTTTCTGTTATATTAGTAGAAAGAGCAATAGAAGCAAATACAGAAATAATTCTGTTTTTGTGACTGTGGCTTGATGAAAGAATGTTGAGGGGCAACAGGAGAAGATGGTCACATCTATAGCCAAGGATGCATTTCATGTTTGACATTGTTTGGCAATGTCTGACATGAGGCATGAAAAGAACACTGTGAAGATGGCATATCAGCACAAAGAAATCTGGGAGGTGGGGGAGAATTGAGATCTACGCCTTAAGAACTGAGATCAAGGATACCAGAGTTATGTATAAATACATGTCCACCAATATAGAAACAAAATGAGCTTCAGTGGCTGAAGTGAGAGCTCCATATAAAGTAGACCAGTATGTTACATTTAATTAAAAAGTCTTTAATGACACAGTCTATGAAGTCAAAGTCCACTTTTCAACACTGTGAGGAAGATACCTAACGCTTTAGATGGCATTTATACAAACTGATGAGAGGACAGAGGCTTCCTGATCAGATGTTAGTATGACTTAGTACAGCCAGCGATGGTAGACTTCTGATTGTGTTTATCCCGGCTTGTTCCATCATCATGTGCTACTCTGCCTCCACTGTAAACGACAAAAACAGACTGCAGCATGGCATTTGCTCTCCTGTGAGTCACTGGCTGCAATCACTGCAGGACCTGCAATAACTCCGGTCCCTGACATGAGTGGCCGACCCCTTCCCAACCCAGGCACAAACCTTCTGAAAAACTCTTCTCTGGTAAGAGGTGGCGGTCCATCAAGACCAAAACTTCAGCAGAAGACCAGTTTCTTTCTGACGGCAGCCACCCTCATAAACAAGGCCCAGGACCCCCCCCACCGACTGACTTTCATCCACATTACCATGACAAATTTCTTGTACGTGGTACATACTTAGCAAAACCCCCGTTTCTCATTCTGAGCTTACTGCAATCATGTGGGCACATGGATGTGTAGACAGCAGTCAGTCAAATGAGGAAGTGATCAGCCACATTAAATGAAGGAAAACTAAGAATGGGACCAAGTGTTAACGGCAAAATAGAAAACTCATGAAGTTGGTCCAAAGTGGGCTTTGTATCGGAGAAGAGGGAAAGACCAGCTATTTAAAAAGGCAGTTTGGATTTAATTCCAGCCTAATCAAAAAGTTACAGCCTTATGTAGCTTTGCAAATGTGGCTGAAGGCATGAGAGGAGGAAAGAAAGACAAGCCTTTAAACCAAGAAGATTTAACAAGGATCAGAAAGATGAGATTAGATTGTTGTGGGCTCAGAGGAGGACTGGCTCTGATTGATAAACACAAAGACCGAAGGCATGAGTATGGGGAGCTTGACAGTGTGATGCATGTTCTTTTGATTGGAACAAAAAAAGACAAAAGTTTCTCAGAACTTAAAGTTTTTTAATTTGCCAACACCACCAATGGCTAGAGGAAAACTAAGAAGCTGCTGGATAAGACGTGGCCTAGAATATCGACAAAAATTGTTGAAGGCAAAATGATGTTCCCTAAGGAATCTGACATTTGTGCATCTAGCCACCAGAACAAATGAAAAAGAAAAATAACAGCAGCAGTGGTGATAGAAGCGCAGAAGCACTGATAATAACATCTAGATCCAATCTTACTTTTACTAGAATTTCATTCACAACAGTTGTTTTGTTTTCAGTTTTAACCCTTGAATTCAAAATGTTCTGATTTGACTTCCCCACACACTTCTTAAAAGTGAAGCCGCCTCACTGATCATTACCAAATAGATGGATTGTTTCCTGATGGCGTTATTGTAACAGGTCATGAATTCCATTCTTGAGAAAACTGTCAGCAGTCGGTTTAATTTCTGATCAAATTAAACTCATTTGCTGCAGTAGTATCTGGTGTCACATTAGGCCTTAATCTGCTGCTCATCCTGTACACATGATGCACAATCCTATTAATGTTGTTGCAGTGGAAATGCCTATTAATGTCATAGTTTTCTAGTTTTGTTTACAGCCCACACTGGTTCCTGTGGATTAGCAGCCCATGTGTCAGACCCAGTCACTATCAGAGTTCATGTCCCTTGAGCTTCTTTGAAATTCTATTTATGACCCACAACCTTGTCTCCCTGACATCCAGGAGCCTTGTCAAATTAGGGGCGGCTGCAAGGGCATGTAGCGGTTGACAGTGGAAAACGACGTGGTTCAGAAACGGGTCAAATCCTCCAGTAAATTGTCAAGTAGCCCACGGATCAGATGGTAGCCTAGTGGGAACACCTGCTGCTTATCTGCTCCAGTGAGAGATGGCTAATGTCGGTCGAGATAGGGCACGTCAAGGCGTCATTTAATGTCAAAAAGTCACCCAAACTGTGTTTGAACAATGGAAATAAATAAGCATATTTCTTAGCTGGTGCTCCTTCGCCTTTCCTTTTTTCTGTTTTCCTCTGATCATGAATGTCGTCTATTCTTCAAGGGCACAAATTCCCACACTTTGTCTTAAGATAACACAATAAAATCACTTGGATCAAATGTCTCCACAGATGATTTTTACGAACCCGGGCTTATTTTTATGGGGAAGAACACCAGCTACGGGCTATTAATATTATGCACTGATTTGTCATAAGCTGTACCGACAACCGCAGCGCCGTGGCAACTCCACACGGAGCGTCACGGGCTCCGAGAGGAGACGCAGCTTTCAGTCGCCAAAGAGCGGATTTGTTGATACCGCACGCAGAGCGCACTGCTGTGCTCACAGAGCGGTGCAGGAATGATGCTGTAAGGGATTAAATATCTTTAAAACAGGACATCTGGAAACAGTCACAGAGTAAGAAGGAATTTCGGTTGCAGACTGCTTCAGATGCATTTTTCTTGGGGACGCGGCACTTGGTGATACTTATCGATTTGACCATACTTTGCATTTTATCGATGGATTTTAACGATTCAAATTTTTCCCTTGGGGAGACTAATTTAACAACAGGTATGTAATCCAGTTTCAACAACATCATTTCACACTTTGTTAATAAGCCTCAACATTAAATCATCATCATCAACAACAAAATAGTAATAATTCGTGCACTTTTCCCTTTTATTTTCTCCAAAAGTTATGTTTTTTTTTTAAATAATCTGTCGTTTTAATCAAAAGCTTTCACAGTCTATTGCACCAATTCAGGCTGCAGTTTCTTTAATAGCATTTCATTACATGAGAGGTGTGAAATATCACTTATCTTTACCAATTTCAACTTTGCCACTACTAAAAATGATTTTATGATTTGAGTTTACACATCATTTTAGAGTGTTTTGTACTGTTAAAAGAGACACTACACACACACAGTTTCCATATTGAAGCTATTCTAAAAGGAGACATTTAATAAGTGTTAGATGCAGTGTCTAACAGATCTGACAGTAATAACCCCGTAACAGACAAGTGTTAATATTATTCTGTTGCTCTTGCAAAAACATTGCAACATGATGATTATACTTCACATGCTGATGCAATATAAAGCTTCATATCTTTCAACATGATTAAAGACAATTTACAACACAGTATAACAGTGCTAAGTATCTTTTAGTTTGAACTGCTGCTCCCTCCTCTTCTTTTCTCCAGCTGTAGACGGGGCCCTTCATTGCAGTGCCATCCTTCCTGTCATCTTTGGCATCATCTGCTTTCTGGGGATCATGGGGAACTTTATTGTCATCTACACCATCATGAAGAAGACCAAGTGTCGTGCTAAACAAACTGTTCCAGACATCTTTATTTTAAATCTGTCAGTTGTTGACCTCCTGTTTCTTCTTGGGATGCCATTCCTCATCCACCAGTTGCTAGGCAATGGCACCTGGCACTTTGGCGCTACAATGTGCACTGTTATCACTGCACTTGACTCCAATAGCCAGATTGTCAGTACTTACATCCTCACTGCGATGACCCTCGATCGTTACTTGGCTACAGTCCATCCCATCCGCTTCAACTATGTCCGCACACCCTGTGTAGCTACGCTGGTCATTGGCCTGGTGTGGGCTCTGTCCTTACTCACCATCCTCCCCGTGTGGTTGTACGCAGGCCTGATGCTACTCCCAGATGGTCTGGTGGCCTGTGCTCTCCTCCTGCCCGACCCAGTCACTGACACGTACTGGTTTACACTTTACCAGTTCTTCTTGGCCTTTGCGATACCATTAGTTATCATCTGCCTGGTGTTCTTCAAGATCCTCCAACACATGTCCACCAGCGTGGCACCACTGCCTCCACGGAGTTTGAGAGTTCGTACCAGGAAGGTGACAAGGATGGCAGTGGCCATCTGCCTGGCTTTCTTCATCTGCTGGGCTCCTTACTACATCCTCCAGTTGGTCCACCTAGGGGTACAGAAGCCAAGCGTTGCTTTCTCCTATGCCTACAACATAGCCATTAGTATGGGCTACGCTAACAGCTGCATCAACCCATTTCTCTACATCATCCTCAGTGAAACCTTTAAGAGGCAGTTTCTCAGGGCTGTATGCCCAGTTAATGGAAAGTTCCGTGTGAATCCGAGCACCACCGAGGCTGTTTGAGAATTGAACCTGAAGGGACTCAGAAGGAACCAGCCTTAGGAGAGGGGATGCCACCTAACATAGCCTCACAGTGATTAGGAATTAGTGGATAAGAATCATTACCATGTATCTGTGAAACTGAAAAGCTCTAGGAATGAGACATTAGCACAAGAATACACCTACATACTGTTTGGGAACACCATGTCTGCACATCAACTGAACCAACCATTTTATTTAAAGAAGAGAAAAATTGTTCTGCCAGTACCTGGGAAAAAATACTATTTCCAATCATATATATCATGCAGTCAGCACAATATCACTGATTTACACAGCTTCATGTTTTTTTCCACAACCTGCTGCACAGTTCAGTTCAGTCATCTCCACCTGCAGAAAACACACATTTTCAAAAATAGGCAGCTCATAAACATCTGTTGTATCAGCTCAAATAAAGATAAAATATCTTTTTTAAACGATTATTTTTGTGTATGTAGCGTATGTAGCCATGGCTGATAAAACCTTATGGTTTTAAAAAGATATTTAAGGATGACACTGGCAGATGGTCTGCGATAATACATTATCGTTATTGTTAGTAATAAATAGGCCCTGCCAGAGGATCTCAAGCAGCAGTCAGGCTCATATGGAGTTAATGGATAGACTGCAGGAATAAAAAGGAGCCTTACCATTCAAGGTGTTAAAAATAAATAGTAAAATCTTAAAATTTGTTCCAATAAGGGGCAGCAAGTAACAATGGGATGTAATTGCTTCATCTGGTAGCAGCATTTTGCGTCAGTTATAATTTTTGGACATTCTGCCTGCTGATAGCAGAATAAAGATGACTGCTGTAGCCCAATGAGGAGAAGATGCAAGCATGGATGATCTTTTCTAGAACTACAAATGAACAGATTGACCCGATTTTGGATTTAAGAAAATGTAAGTTGGACAATGTAGGATTGTGCAACTTTTGTCACCTAGGTAATGGGATTTTTGATGACATGAAGAGATAAAGACACAAGAGAGATTCACGCTCTTACTGTACAAGTTGTCATTAAATTTTTATTTTGGAGTTATTCAACTGCAAGTCAACTTTTAGCACATTCAGGCATACATTTCTGTTAAAAGGAAGAACGTTTCACCATGCACTGCCATGTCTTCACATCAGTTCTTAGCAACTAGAGTGAATCTACTTCCATTTGCATCCACTTATGTCTTTCCATTGATTTTGTTCAGTCTGTTTAAGTGAATGTCATTAATTAATTGCTGCTCCAAGTGCTAATGTTCACTCATACTAAATAATACATTATAAATACACACACCAACACACACATTCAGTTCAGTTCAATTCATCTATTTATCCCCTGGGGACAATTAAAAAGAGCACAAAAGTAGTTCAACAAGGTCATTAATTTAAGATAATCCATTTAACAGCACAGCTATAGTAATCATAACACAATAGTGCAATTTAACTACCACAGCAACAAATTAGCAATATACAGTATTTTAAAAAATTAAAAGACAACACAAATAATAAATACATTGTCTGAACAAAGAAATAAATAAAATAAAATCACTTTTACTTTGAAGGACACTGTGCAGGATATAAATACAATACACAAGATGATATACATGACTACACACATTCACTATAGTATCACTCTGTGCATCCAGAATACCAAGCAGTTGCTGCTATAACTGAAATTTCAGCTGTGCAATGGATGAACACACAGCCGACAGAACTGTACAAGACTGTAGTCAAAATGGAGAGAGATGTCTGAACTGAGCATTAAAAGTTTCTGTATAAAAATAGACACTGAACATGCAGTACTGAGGCTGTGATTTTATATTCTTGGTTGTTCTTGTGTTATCTGAATTTCTAATGCCATATCTAAGTGAAGATCTTAAGAATGGAAAGTGAGACTGGAGATCATGTCTTGGATAACAAACATGCATCAGGTAGTCCCTGCTGACAAGATTGAAATGGAGTCTGGTAAGGCCATCTCACTGGCAGTACAGTTTTGAGGAACTGTGTTACAGTATTCCACAGACCTCGCTTTATTTGGAAAAAAAAAAGACACTGACTGTATGACACCTCACAGAAGCTGGAGAAGAATGTTTAGCCCTGCTGGTAAGTAAGAGTGCTTTAACATGGAGGAGCTATCATGAAATCAGGTACGATTAAGTTAGCCATGAACTAAGTTCATGTTAGTTTTCTGTTCTTTTAAGTATAAAAAAGAGACAGAAGGAGAAGATTGAGTTAAGATCCAACTGCATTCACCTGACAAAGTAAAAAGTAGAAGATGTCTATCTGCAAAAAAAGTGGTGTTTGTTACAGTGTATGTGTTTCAGCAGTGCTTTTAATAGCTTTTGGATATTTATATAATTTTGTTCCGCTGGTTTGGTTGCTATGATTGCCTCTTATCAGGATATCTCAAAATGTTGTAGACAGAAGAAGTGAAATTTCAAGCTGAGCTAGGTGATGGGAGACGAGACAAGTGGGATGTGTGTGTCTCGTAGCATCAATTGGCAAATTATAAAGTAGTCATTCTAGGATCACAAAACCCCAACCATGGGAATTGTGAAAGCTTAATATTTTGTCCATATTGGAATGATGCTTACAAATTTGACACACTTAATCTGTGTAAAATAATGCAGTAGAGAGCCAAGAGGAAAAATGGAACATTTTTCATCTGTATTTTAAGTCCCTAAAAGTTGCAGTGTTGAACCTCTTGAATAAGTAAAATGTCTACTCGTCAACCAATGAAAGTTATAGCATTTTCGGTGTTGATCAGTGTAAAAATCAAAGCCATGAACAGAAATAAAGGGTTGTGTTCTGGATGAGTCAAGGTCATGTTTATAAGAGAACCATTTTACTGACTAATTGTTGTTAATGTTATTGTATTGATGTCAAGTTATTATATATTGGTATGTAAAATTATGATGGTGAAATTATATGTTGGGAAGATTTATTCATGTACACATATGATATTCTAATGATAGAACGTGAACGTCAGGGTTTCTCAACCTTTCCTGGTCTGTGGCTGAATTTTTTGTGTCTCAAAATTGTCTTGATGCCAGCATCAAGAGTTGTCAAGCTGTCTTCAGTTTTGTATCATATTTTTAAGAGGGCAGATCTGGCTCTTAATTGACTTACACAGGGATGATGGCATACTCTGACATTTTAAAATTTAATTTAAATAATCGAACACACTATTACTGTAGGAATCCCTCATGACCAGGGATGTAACAATATTTGTAACTTCATGCTATTGCTATGGAAAAATATCTTGTTAATGTCGTGGGGTTATGACTGTATCTACATATGGTTATTTAGTTAGTATAATTGCGTTAAGGTCACAGAATTTAAAACTGACATAGCAGATGCTCCATTGTTTGTTATGTGCCGTTCGCACCTGCAGTGAGCGAACGAGAAAGAGGCGGACCCAGGTAGCCGACTTCGATGCAAGCAGTGATTTATTATGTACAGTGATGATGAGAGTAAAAATACACAGAGGGAAATAGTGCGTAGTCCTGTCGATGAGTAGTAGCCGGGTGTTTGACCAACAGCAGGAGGCAAGGAGATGGAGAGCTGGGCCGAGCTGTGTAGGCTGGGTCACTCCTGGGCTGGTCGGTGGTGATGGTGGCTACTGAAGGTAGAGACAGAGAGATGAAGGCAATAGTGGAACAGATAGGCGACTGAACATTGACCTGCCTGGGAGGGGAGAGTGGAGACACGGTCCGGAGGAACAGTCCATGGGGGGAACACAAAACAGTAGCTGGCTAGGGGATAAATACATAGAAAAAACGAAAGAGCACGGAGAAAAAGTGGCCTAGAGACTAGAACGAACTGGCAAGTGACTGAGGAGTGAAACCGGGTAATATAGTGAG